AATGTTGAATTAATACACCTTAATGTTATCGAGAAATAAATAATTAAAAATTTTTTTAATTATTTGCATAATATACGAATATGTTCAGATGTGCGCTCGATTCGGGAAGTGTCTAATTTCAGATGTGAAGGGAGAAATGACGTCACGGATATGCGTGATTCATTTGTACCTTCAAGTGCGTCAGTTGATACGTCTCTTGCATGACTAAACACGTTGAATTCGCAATCGGTGCAGCACGTAGTTATCGACGTAATTTACAAAGCTATAAGGGATATGACTAGCATTTCAATACCTTGGATTGTACGATAAGATAGAGATCAAGAATCTCATACAGCAATGCATGCGTTACGCATAAATTAATTTATTTTCTATAAATTTTTTTCATATTTAACAATTATTAATATAGATATTTTATATTATTAATATATTATAGTTGAGTATAGTTATATTATAGTGAAATTATAGTTTAATTTTTAAATTGCAAAAATAAAGATATATTCTTTCTCAAATCATTTTGTAAGGTATAAAATTATTCTCATACAGTAATTCTTCTAATACTTAAATTTAAAATACACCGCGCTGACAGCACAAAAAAACGTATAATCAAAAAAAAAATTATCGTTAAATTTTTTATTTTCGATTTACGTGTTTTTTTAAAGTAAATATTTTATGAGCACAGTTTACCTATTGACCAATATAAATATTTCGATTTTAACATTTTAACAAATATATACTCTTGCATATGTTGGTGCATGTAACACTGTACTGTCAACAAAAGTTTTATGGTAAACTAATAATTAAATTTCTGCTGGCTATGATTATTTCAAGTAGACCTTCAGTTATCAGTTTTATCAGTTTTAACTATAACAAAATGTCAGTCGTGATGGTATCTTCTCAAAGGTATCATTACTTCTGGCGAAATAACCTTTAACCTCTATGGAGAAATGTACCACTATACATAGTAATTTAATCTATTAGTTCCGGATATTCTTATAGCTTGCTTTCATATCAGCGATATCTACTTTCTCGTTGAAAATTATCATACGTCAAATAATAATCGTTGTAAATTTTAATAGGGAATCTCAACAGCAGTTACAGATACAAGTTCACGAATATTTTTGACAGGCGCATAACATATAAATAAATAAATAATAATTTTAAAAGCTTATTAATGTGATCGCGATAGTAGATACTATAGAAATTCCGGATCTCGTCAAGAATTTATGGCAGGCTGACGAAATTGGACTCGCACGCGTACTTTCACTGAAAAAAAAGAAAAGCAAGCGGATTCGGTCCACCTTGCCCTTGACTCGCGCGTTGTTTGAGTGCATTTTTGTTGTTGTTAAATGTAAATCTGTGCGAGAGTGAATGTCGCAAAAAAAACGCTTGCTAAATTATCCCGAAGACGCCGAAGGAAACATCTCAACGTAAATAGCGATTCATTAAAGTGCTACCTCATCCCGCAGTCAAGTCGCGCCGCTATTTCAAGGCTCGCGGTGCCGGATAAAGGTAGATCGGCAACGATCCTTGAGGAAGCGAAGAAAAAGCGAGACATAACGGGTCGTCGACTTCGCCGTTCGTGCTTGATGTTATTATGAGCAATTTAGACAAAAGAGATTTTAGACAAAAGACTAACAATAAGTTAAATTCGTTATTTGTAAAAGGCTCAATTGCTTTCGAATTGCTTTCTGAGATTTCGCCGATTCGAGATTGGATTCGATCAATCGGTACGATGGAAATTAATAATAACGAATATGGCATGCGTGACGCGGAGGACGTAACGGCTACGCAGGACAAATACTATATCAATTCTCCCTTCGACGAAACGGCCGGTTTCTCCGGGACGAGAATGGCACGCCGTGCCCTCGATACCCAAATGCGAGTCGCGGTAAAAGTTGAGCGATTACGTGCTACGTACTTGTTTTTAACTGCTGGACAAACAGCTGGATGCCTTCTTCGTTTCGTATAGATTCCGATTCGAGTTCATGAAAGCAAAAGAAGAACCGTCATACATGGACTGTTCAATGCAAAGAACAGTGCTGGTTTTTCTTTTTATTTATTCCCCATTTTTTTTTTAATTTTTTATTATTATTTTTTTTAATAAAGCTTTGAACAAGCATCGCGAACTGTAAATCGCGCTTGAACTTGATACAAGAATCAGCTTTCTCCGACGATTACAAATGATTTATCGTTAGAAACGTAGATGAATAATTATTCGCAGTGTCTCGGTTTTCCTACACATACGTATCTTTAATTTATCAAGAATAATTCAATCTTTTATTTCTATAATTAACGCAAAGTACAATACTTTATCAATCATAAGACACGAATAGCCAGTCAAATATTATTATGTAAGTTCGAGATACAATAGCAATTGTTATCATTTACATGTGGACAAATTTCTAATTTTGTTTTGAAGGGTTTTGAAATTAAATATCAATAATATTTAATCTAATCAAAATATCATTTTCAAACTGTGCATATTATTGCATGACCAATAATATAAATAAGTCTACGAGTGCGATAATATAAATAATGTAGTAAAATTTAGTAGTAAACGTAATAAAATTACGTATGATATTGCATATAATATATAGTTATTTTTTTACGTGATTTATTCACAGAACACGTATGAGAATGTATACATGAGATAAATTCAGATTAGCATGTTTACATTTAGATAAATTTTTTATTTGATTAAAACAATGTTTATATCTTTGTACGTTTTATATCATGTTTAATTATTCAAATAACAGTCAGTGTGTTTATAAACACATTTCTTAAATTATATCATTATTTCACGTACTGTTTTCAAACAAAGAAGTAATTATGAAAATAACATTCATTGTTCAAAAATCAAATCCGCAAATTTTTCTCGAATTTCTAGAAAGTTTTATAGATATATAAAATATATACAATTCTCATTGCAATTTTAAATATTCTTATAATATTAAATGCTCTTAAAATTAATTCTCAAAAATTTTGGTGTGTGTTTTTAAATTCTATCTTTACAAAATTGTTGTTTTCCTAAACAAACAATCTCGAGCAATTAGCAATGAGCAACAATTTGAACAAGTAATGCCCGGTTCCACCAACGTAGATTAACTTTAATTTCGGTTTAACTTACTCTTCACCTTTTTTTTAATTCTTAGAATTAAAAGTTCCATTAATTCTAAGAATTAGAAAAAGGTTAGAATTGGTGGAACTTTTTATTCTAAGAATTTGAAAAAGGTAAAGAGTAAGTTGAACCGAGATTAAAGTTAATCTACATTGGTGAAAATGGGCATTAAACTTTACGATGATAAGTAGACACATGCAATGTTAAATAATTCAGATAAAATTCCAGCTTATTGAAAGATTATATAAAATTTATCGTAATGCAATACGAGTATTTAGAGATAACATAAATTTTTGAATAGAAATGTAGAAATGGTGCTATTATCTTCTGTTTGAAAATAAAATTGTTATATATAAATGTAAAATTATACATATATTAAAATATGATATATATTAAAGTGATCAAAATAAAATATCAATTTCGTACTTCTAATTTTAATTAATTGGATGTAAGATTAGTTTAGCTTGATAATATAGTGAAGAGAGAGAGAAAAGGAAACGAAATATTCTAAATATCACAAGGAAATATTTTTGATAACGTCCTGCGTGAAAGTCGTTATTTATATCTTGAATTACGTGATTTCAAATTCGTTCTACATGACCTTAAATCGCGACGGTTTTTGACCACGCGTTTAAAGATTAGATTTACTATACTAATCGAACTCGGCGCAAAATAGTAATGAAATGCATATATCGGTGAGAAGTCACCTAACAGGTCCGAAGAAAGTTTCCTTGTAGATCAAAGGGAGGGGAGTGAAATAAATGGCGAGCGTTTGAGTGGAATCCGATGAGAGTTTCGAGGAGGGTCTTTCTCTCCTCCACGATTCCCTCTCGTGTGAAATTGACTACGCAACGGCTGGGGAGATTTTATTAACATTTCTCTGCAGTATAATGTCCGAGTTCCTCACTATCACTCTCGATCTCGAGGCGCTCGCTCAAGTTCACGCGAAGAGTGAGATTTCACGAATCTTAGAAATAGTATTCGCTGTGCACTACGACGTCTCACGTGGATATACGAAAAATTATTGAAAATTATTATGGCTATATAAATCTCAAGTTCTATTTCAAATTTTATTATGGAGGTAGTCTGACGACAAAATTTTTTAATAAAGATTATTATTATTAATCATACGCAATTATATTTGCATTATTAAAAAGAATTGGACACTTTCACAAATTCATTAATCAGCAACTAGAATATATATTAACATGTGGTAACATGCGGGAAATTGTTATTAAAATTGTTACTGCAATGACGTGCATTCGCGTGCCGTACATTATTGTAATTATTAGCATTATCGCGAAAATTGTTGTACGGATTGACAACGGTATTGTCACGATATCTTTCTTTGCAAATGTTTTTCACAACAGTCGTAGAGATATGCGTGGACGATTGATACGTTAATGAGTTGATATGCTTGCTCGTTTGGAACGCTCGCGTCCATTCATTCGGCGGCTACGTGTTCCGGCGCATTTATTGCGAGAGGGAAAAGTGGATGACGATTGTTCGCCACCGCAAAACGTTCGTGGAAAGTTGTCGAGGAATGCATGCTGACCTTGATTATTCGAGACGTCCGTTTTGGACTGTAGTCGATTGCGTCGTTCGTCCCGTCATTGTTGGTTACCTTCAAATTATTATCCTGCGTTTTTCGAAGGCAAACTGGATACAAGTACTTGATGTGAAGGGACTTGATGCAAAGGTGCACGTGGAATATGTCAATGCCTACTTGAGAATGATTAAAATTGCACGTCTGAAAAAAATTTGCGCAACTTTGTTATGACTTCACTTGAAATATCCATGATGCGTCAGAAAATTACCCCTGCAATTTATTATCGTTTTTGAGTTGCAGCGCAAATTCTTTGTTCATATTTTTTCCTCGAGTTACTTTGAAGAAAAGAATGGACAGAGGTCCAAAATTAAAGATCATGAAAATCTTTTGCAACTGCAGCAGACATTTCGATAGTACACGTTGTACGAAAATATACAACGTGTTGTCAGACACCGCGCTAAGATACTTAGAGCTTACTTCTCTCTAGAAAAAGTTGCCCAATAAAATTTACATAACGCAACGCAACTTTTGATTTATGCGCAACACTATTCGGATAAAATATATTTCAATAGTTTCTTAAAATAAGGATTTTTTTTTTTATGAAACTGGTCAAGCTTTCTGCGCGTGGAAAATAAACGTTTCATACTTTAACATATGCTTTAAATGTTAGTCACTAAGTCTAACATTTACATCGACGTATGGGCCGTGATGACGTACTTAGGAACAAATAGAAACTCTGATATACATTAGCGAACGAGGCGAATATTGTGCGCATCATAGCATGCCGGCAACTTTTACTGTGCACCCATGTATGGTGCATTTAGCATTCGTTCTTTCTCTTAATCGTTCGTACCATTTACGGTCAGCCACACCATGCGTTACCGAGAATGTTAGATAATTGAATCAAGAAATTTTCCTCGAGAGTCATGATACCTTTCTCTAAAATATTTGCCATAAAAACCGGCGGCTTTCCTCGGCGAGAAAAAGAGAGAAAAATAGTTCGTAGATCATATGTAAGAGAGAATAAAAAGGAGAAGTATGCAAACCGTACAAACAACATGACAACGTATTACATTTCACGTACAACTTGATAGAAATACACTGTAACAATGTAATGTGAAAATACGGAGCAAAATCTGGCCGGATCAATTATTTTCTAAGGGCCCCTGGCGCGAAGTCGTGAGAGCGACCTTGATTCCGTCGCTCGCATCCGTGCATTAGAGCACGTTCAGCGACGTTCATCGGAGCGGACATCAGCATCGATGGCGAGCGAATCCAGAATGTGGGTCGGCCAGCGCTCATGGAGAAAGTATATTTTCCCACTCCGTATCTCTTGACATTCGATATCGTTCTTCGAGGAATGGCGAAACCGCGGCCCACAGCGTTTACTCGATACGTAGCTTCTTCGTTTTTTTCTCTTTGAAAGATAACTATTTCTGCTGATAATGTAGCCTAAACTGCTCCGTTCAAAAAATTGTTTTCTATCTAACAATAAGACTTCTGATTTTATTTGCAATTAAATATGGAACTTGATACATTTTTATCTTCTGCTCTAGTTTTTTTATTAATAAATTCTAATAACAGATTTTCTTCAAGTTATTGCAAAATAAAAATCACGTTAGCTCTGATCACGTAATAGCTTAATATCAAAGAATTTTTTTATTCTTCCTTTATTAAATTCTTTCTATTACTTTGCAACTTTCAACACGAAACAATAGATTTTGTTTGCATGCCATTTTATCGATTGATAGAATAAAGTTTGATCAAACACATAGTTTGAGAATATCTTTATATTATTATATGAATTAGACCAATTTATTCGTCACAGTTTTCTGTAATATGTCTTTTCATTTCAAAGATTAATACACTGTCAAAATATAAGTAAAATAGATTTCTTTTAAAGCTCAAATCGTTTACCTAAAATAACTTTAATGACGACGGTTATTAAAACGATTTTCCAAAGAAAGTAGCTATGGACCTCGGAGCCGACCGTGAAGAGAAAGCTATCTTTCTGGCAAGCAAACAGAGTAACGGCTGCTGATACTTGAAAGATTTGGCAATACACACCTCGTGCGTGAATGAGTGGTTATTTCGTGAGAAAAGTAAATTCACTCGCGTAACCCGTCACCCGTTGAGGACCGTGCAATGACAATACAATTTTCGTATGAGATTTACCAATATTACTTCGTTGTTGTTATTATTATCGTCTCGTTTTGCAATCGGTTCGAAGCGTGCTCTATCCTTTTAATTGCATAACGGCACACTCTCGTTCAAGTATCATATGTAA